TGATGATGCACTGGAGCTTTTGTATGTCATTCCACCCTTGTGACCCCTCCAGGAACTGGAATTCAATGGCGTGTGGCTCCTTTGCCCAGAAGAAACGCTAGAACAGCAGAAGTCTGATTCATTTCTGTTCAGGTCTTGCTTTTCAGTCGGAATGTGGTCTTTTGCAAGTGGAAGATAGCGTGTATTCTTCTGGGCATGGAAGAGTACGAAATTTAATGAAAGTGACTACACATGTAAGAATCAATCCATTTCCCTGTTCATTCAGGGAGTGAATATTTAATAAGTGCCTATCATGTGCCAGGCCCTGAAATGATGTGCTAAGCAATGAAATCAATTGGCAAGCAATCACTGAAAAAGAAAAACGAGAGGGGGTGAGTTTGCATGGGTATGTCCATTTTAAACGACTTAAGAGAGGTAATTGGATGAAATAGCCCTGTACAAAAACCAGCAAATGTTTTGTGTATTCGTATGTTCGTGTATGCATAGCAAAGGTTCTGGAGCCACATACGCTATTTTAACACCAAAACTGTTAAGGATGGCACCTCTGGGGGATTTTCACTTTCTCTGTTGTACATGTCCGTAGAAGTCTAATTTATCATATCACATATGTTCTGCTTCCATAATCAGAGAAAAACCAAGGAAGTTAAATAATAGCAATTTTCACGGGAAGAAAAGATGGCTGTAGCAAGTGCTGGAGCAGCCGTGGGAAGGCAGGCTCGCTCACACTCCCAGGCTGGGAGGATCGATCGGCATAATTCGGGGAATTAGCTGACCACATCTAGTAAAGTTGCAGGGGCACATGCCCTTTGACACGGCGGCTCCAGGTCTGGGAACGTGCCCCAGAGGAACCCCCATGCGTGGCACATGCGTGTGCAAGATGTTCATTGCAGCGTCGTCGGTGACGGTGATGGCATTGCTGACCTACTCGTGGGCCAGCCTGGGAGGGACTGTATACATTGGGGATAGTCACACAAGAGAAAACTCTATCACAGTTAAAAATAAATAAATCCAACCCTCCATGCTTCCACGTGGGTAAATCTTGAAAATAAGGTTGAAAGAGAATAGGAAGTGGTACTATTATAGGTAAGGTTCGATGCCACTGGTGTGGATTTTTAAGACACCCAGAGTAGTGTTTCTGTAAGTCTATTGCTTATGGAGCCAAATGTAAATGATAAAAGTCTAAAAATATGTGTGGGAATCATCCACACTGACCTTGGGGTGATTGTTAACTCTGAGGAGGAAAGAAAGACGATGGGATGGGGGGAGGGAGACCAGGGGGCCCTTCAGTGACATCTTTAATGTTGTATTCCTTTAAAAAAATGTGAAACTGGGGATGGGTCTCCAGGTAAGTCATCGTATTGCTTTCTGCACTTGAACATGTTTGCCTGTCGGATGCGTGTGAACTGATCTCGCTGATGACTTGTGAATTGAGTGGCTTTCCTACGTGTATTGTGTATCGCCAGTGACCATTTTTCCTAAGAGTATTAACAACGGGAAGTGAAGTAAGCAGTTTCCCTAGAAGATGGCAAAGTGCGTGCGTTGGGGTGAGGACGTGCGCCGGTGGAGGCTCCCCTCACACAGGAGGTACTGGGGACATGGGTGTGGGACAGACAGGGGTGCTCTCCTGCAGGAGGTGAGGGTCTAGCTGACTGTGGATGGGCTGACGGGCAGGGGTGCAGGCGTAGAAGTTGCTGTGGCCTGAAAGGAAAGGGGGGCAGTCACTGAGGCAGGGCCATTTAGAAATCACTGATGCATGGAGAGCACAGTCCTTTTCCCGGGACCCTGAGAGGCAGAACTCAGGGCTTGTTTCTTCAACTTCTGCCTCCAGACGTAGCTCTGAGCCCATCATTGTCCCCTTCACAAACACCAGCTCCCTGCTGCCAGGGACATCGGGCCTGTGTCCAGCCTGATGCGTAAAAGCCCATTGTGACGTGGCCTCTGTCACCTCCGCTGCATCATCTCCTGCTTCCTCCGCTGACTCGTGACCGTGACCCCTCTTCATTGGCTGGGGGGGGCGGGCCCTCTCAAACAGGCATGGCAGCCCTGCTCCAGGCCCTTCCCAGGCCCCCATGCTCCCGGAGTTCCAGACCTACTCACCTGAGCTCTAGGATCGCATCCCGCGTGCTTTGGTCTCAAGTCCTGGTGGTGCCCAGGGCACAGCAGGGCTCAGGGGCTCACGACAGAGGGCACCCCGCGCACCACACCGGGGAAGCCAGCATCAGACCAGAAATCACTGCAGTCAGCTGCTACACAATTTTTGGAATTGACATTGGTCGGGAAAAATGATTGAAAGGACAGGCGGGGGGTGAGGTGCAGAGGGAGTCCTTATTCCATGCAGGACAGCATTGCCCTCCCGTCTGAAGCTCCTGGGAAATAGTACCTGGTAAGCCTGTGAAACTGAGCACATTAGAGTCTTTGGGAACTAAATCTGGAATTGGGATGAGGTAGGAAAAAAATCTATGCTCATTGAATACAAAACGCAATTGTCTGTCAGTGCAGGAACTGAAGTATCTGCAGCAAATTATATTTAAGACTCTATTGTCGCAGGCAGATTAGCTAATGCTTGATTTTAAGTACAGGCTTCTAATGCTATTACTTCTGGTTAGCTCTGCCTGGCAGGTAACCTTGTGCAACAAATGGTGGCATTGCTTGAATAACATATTTGATCAAACAGGACAATTCTTTCAAAAATTGAGTTCTCTGTGGCAATTGAGACCTGTAATCAGCAAATTAGATGATTACAGCAGGGATAAAAATAGTCTTCTAACAATATCCAAGGTATAAATGTGATTTGAATTTCAAAATGTTGAACATGCAGTAAGAAAATGCACGGTTGGGTAAATATGACTAGACATTATCAGATTTGATCTCTCTTGCCAACCCTGCTCTGAGCTAGAGCCTAATTTTGCCCAAATAGACTCCAGTCTCGTTTGTGCTCAGTCTATCTTGCACTGTCTATGCTCCAGATCTTCAAGGACTCAACGGCTTTACTTATCAGCCTTTAGGAACTTAAGAGTCCACGTGAACCTTAGCATCATTTATCCACTTGGTGTGAAATCCACGCAGCAATGAGCTGTCCGAGGTCCACACAGGGAAGATGGCGCTGGAAGGACTTCCACACCCACTACCTGAAGACCAGTGTTTTCTTTCTTCGGCACAGGGGACAGGGACAACCAGAGCAACTCTGGGGAGGTCTGGTGACTGAACTGTGAGCTGGGGCGTGACATGAGGATGTGGTTTGCTCTACCACAATCCAATCAGCCCTCATGGTTGGTCAATAAGTTACTCTTAGTTTCTCCTCTAACACAAGGAAGTCAGACTAAGGGGCCACGTCACCTCCTTCTCTGGGTCCCCCTGCTCACCACCTCTGCCTCAGAGCGTTTGCTCATCCAGGTTGACCAGAGCTGCCATTTTCACCCCCATGTCTGTTTGGCATCCCCCGGCCTCAGCCGGTTTTAGCTGAATGGCAGAACAAAAATGATTTGGCAAATGGGTACGCAGAGCCAACCGGTGAGGGACCAAAGTCTGTGCTGACTACTAGCAAAGGGAGGAGCTCCTTAAAGCAGGGAAATGTGATGTTACTTACTAGTTGCTCTTAGGGTTTCTGGCAGAGCTACAGAAAATATCGACTCCTGTGGATTTCACTTACCCACCCAGGACGCACCCTTTGTTAGCACAGGTGATTCAGAGCTGCCCATGGCAACGCTGCCATTTAATAAAAACAAAAGCAAAATCCTGATGTCCAGAAACGCGGCACTCTTGAATTTGCTTATAAGGCTTTCTCATTTCAGCGGCCCCAGTAACGCTCTGCGACAATGTGTGGGCCACACGTCCATGAAGTAGTTAGTACCTGCCTCAACGTGTGTTCAGACCAGTGTCACCTCCCCTGTCAAGCCCTAAAACTTATCCAAAGCTTTGAAAATAGAAATGTTTTCAGTGCCATGTTTTGCATAGAAAATGCCAAATGTAAATTAACCACTTTTAGGATTTTTCCAACAAGCCACTTACGAATGGTCAACTTTAAAAATGCACTGCTTTTTAAGGTGGGAGCATCTCTGCCTGAGATGAGGAAATAATTAGCTCGAAGTACCATCTGACTAAATACCAGGACATGTAGATTTATAATGCATTTATTTGGAAACCATATTAAAACTTGCCAGAACTATCACATCACAACGTGGAGAAGTAGGGTCTCTCTCCGACTTCATATAAGCATGATACAGATTTTAAAATGGCTGTTTTTCTACTTCAGACAGGGTTTTGCAAAATGAGATAAAATACCAAGTTGAAAATAAGTGGGTTTGTTTGCTCATTCACCCTCCCTTTTTCTGAACCCATAACATACCCCGAAGCGGTGCAAGGAAGTGCAACACACAAGACCACCACGAAGAGAATGCTCAACGAAATGCATCGGAAACTATACACATTAGGCCTTAAAGTGGACAGGGACTTCCTCCATGAGCAAGGCACTTGGTGACTCCATCAGTGGTCAGGGAACAGACCGTGCACAGACATCTGGCCTTGAGCTACGTATTTTATTTTACATTTTCTTCTTCAAAGTATAGTTTTAGGCTACTACATTATGTTAACAAGTTCTCCCAGCAGAAGTTCTTTAGGTTGAGATTTGGGTAAGGACGAAAAGGGTGTTGAGTACCACTTACTACAGATGCTTTATGACCTCTGGCCTGTTGTGGGGCGGACATCATACCTAAGAATCCTCTTGGCTGCAGACATGCGCTCCCCAGTACTGTCACCGCCAGCCGGGGAGCCCCACCTGAGCAGCCACTGTGCAGGCCTGCAAGAAAGGGGGAGAAATGCCAAATCGAAGCCTCATTCCCACCTCACGTGGCCCTTGGCAGGCATTCGTGGCTGTACCTAAAGCTCACTTCGAAAGTCTTCTTCTAAATATATTTGCCTGAAAAGTACGAAGTTAAAGAAAGAGAACTCGATGCAGCCACACTCAAAGATGACTTCTAACTTAAATGATCACACATAGCTCATAAAACGAGCTGTCTCAAAGACAGTGTTATCTTTATTAAAAAAACGGACAGACGTAGCAGCACTTACAAAATAACAAAATAACAGTTCATAAAAGGCATTGTACATTGTCAACTGATAGTGTGAAAAGGGCAGGCCCCCAGCACAGCTGGTTGTGGGCTCCACATCACAATGCTCACAACCACCTGTTCCCCTCAATACGACACAACCCAGCACACCCGAGGGGAGCCCACAGCAACGTGGCACTCCGCAACTTCAAGCCTTTGTTCCGTGTGTGAACAGTCAATCAAGTCAAGTATCACCCTCCTTAGCAGCATCTGGAGCACTCATTGGTGTTCTGGAGGTGGCTGGTGTACTCGACCCACTTATTTCAAAAAATCTAAGCATTCAATAAAAAACACTTGTCCCTGTCCAATGCCATCCACAGAAACACTTCGGTCGCAGAAGAGACATGCTCTTCTGCTGACATATCTGTAAAAGCTAACGCGCGCCTCCGCCCCAGTGTGCAGCAGGGAACTTGGAGCGGGCACTTCTGCACAGCTGTCTTTGGTGGAGGATGCTGATGTGGTCACGCGGTCCCCTGCTCACTGCTCTGCTTCTTACTGCTCTGTGGGGGGGTGAGGACCCCGGTGGGGAGAGGAGAAATCCTATTTTGTTCAGACAATATGGCTTTCTTTGCTTGGGCTTTGTCCTGGTAAGAATAAAAGCGAGAAATGTTAAAATGGAAGAATGCATCCTTTGGGCTTCGTGCCCTGTGTGCTCCTTTCTGTGGAGGTGAGGGCAACGAAACAGCAAAGAACAATCTGAAGTCGCTGGTCTGTGTGCTATTTAGACATCGCATCTATTGAGCACAATTTTTCTTTTTCAAAGGAATTATAAGAATTGGAGTCTTTCTAGGATATCGGGAGCCTGCCTGAAGAGGAGTGAAGAGGCTACTCAGGCAGTTTTAGGAATTTATCTGAGAAACGAGGAACACGACTCACCAGCAAATCCAAGCTGTTTATATGGGTCTGGATGTTGTGCGCATCTTCAGCAGGAACTCCCCTGAAGTGCTTAAGTTTTGAGCTCCCTGTCTCCCTTATAACCATGGCAAATGGAACCATCCACTTGACACACTTCTCTATATCACACCACTGATACCCTGCAATGAAAATAAATTTTAGGCTCCATCGGTTTGTAAGTTTAATACACCTTGTGAATGGACCGGAAAGCCAACGTACCTGAAACCTTTTGCATTAATTCAGATGAAGAGAAATGATACAAGGCAGAAGCAGCAAGTACACCATAGGGAAATTCTAAGCAGCCAACATCCAGGACACAAAGATCTAAAAGCTGTGGAGGAGAAAAGAACACTGAAGCAGGAGGCCAACGTCTATCCCTTCTAGAGTTCCTCGGTCTCCTGGTGGGGTAGGTAGACCCCCCAGAGGTAACAGAGCCACTCACCTCTGCGATGTGTATGAAGATTTGCTGGGGATACTGTGGCAGGAGCACTTCATATAAGTCATTTAGATATGCCACCTGCATATATACATTCAGCCAGGACACAATGGTTAGGGGACTTAAGTGCCACTTAAGGGCCTAAGGGAAAACAGAGAGAAGGGTCAGACCAATGGCTGAGAAAAAAACAAAACCAAACAGACGCTTCTGCTCCCTTGGGGCCTCCAAAGGAGTTCAAAATGCAGCCACGTTCCATGCCACAATGTGTCCAGCTGGGGAACACCTAGTCAGATGCACTCAAACTGAATGTGGAAAAGATATTATGTATGCATTTAAAAAAAAGGACTGAAAAATTAACTTGTAACCTACCTTCATAATGATTAATTCCATGCTAAGAATTTCCTCTCCTGAACAAGCCCCATCTGTAACATAAGCAAACTGGTGTAGCTTTGGAGGATAGATTTCCTAAAAGGAAATAAAAGGGAGAAATGACTACCAAATTTCTCTAACAGTTTAAACTTACAATGTACATCCAAAATTACTGTTTTTAGTATGCTAGCATGGAAAGAGAGGGAACATCATGGAATAAATACAGGAGCTACTCCACTGGTCAAAATGCATTCATTGTGAAAGAAACCAAACACCCATCGTTACCAATAAATGAAGACATAAATACAGCTTTTACTCAGTGGGGATATTTTTAAAATTTTCACCTTTTTAATACCTTCAGCAACATGTTTGAAAGTTGGGCCTATCCACCCTTCTCATCACACTAAAATTCAAATCCTCTTGGGTCAAAGTTCAATTTTTTGGCGTAAAGTAACTACATTAACCTAAGCATTTTATATACTCACTACTTCTCTCACTTCTTGGTTGATTTCTAGCCCTTTCTGCATGTATCTTTACTTTAGATGACCTCAAATTAGAAAAATGTAGACAAACAGTTGGCCTATTCCAGTAATCTCAGAGGATCTCAAGAAACAGCATGTGCTACATAAGAAATATTTTAAAATAATTTACCTCAAGTTTGGCAGCAATAAATAAAGATGAAATCCCAATAAGCTGTAAAAGTGTTTTAACAATATTTTGTTGTGTTGCCATATACCGATCAAAGAAATCCTGTGCCAAGTAAAATGTCTCTCTGTGAAGTTTATAGACTTCGCATACCTGAAAAAATATTTAGTAAGTTTTAGAACAGTTACTTGAGGAAAAAAGAAAGACAAAAAACAACTTGCCATGAGTTTTGGTGAAGGACAATATAACCAAATCAAGAGAGAGAACTTTGCTTTTCTGAAAGGATGGTTACCTGGCTTGTCCCTAAGCACAAACACAGCGCAAAGCTGGAACTCAGAAGGATTAAGTGTTCTGTGATCTATATAATAGTAAGGGCAAATGTGCATAGGCTGCTAAAGCAGCATTTTCATGGAAAAACTGTGAATGATAATCTCAAACTAAAATTAGGACCATGCCTGCCCTGCCCACCTCACAGGACTGCTGAGAGAGTGGGTAAAATGATGTGCATGAGGGAGCTGAAGAGGACCAAGGAAATAGTAGACTTCAACTCATCACCACCATCTAATGTCTGATTATGCCTATAAAACTGCCATTCCTACATAGGCCTTCCCTTGTGTGAGTGCAATTCATGGGGCTAAAAAGTAGAAAAGGCACGGGAGAAACAACAAACAGAACATTGAGAGAAAATTCCATCAATCACTAAAGAGTATTTCTAAAGTCCAAGTTGAGGTATATTTGAAGTCAGTTTTTATAAAGTAATACAATTATGATCTGATCAGAAGTGAAACTGGAGCTTCTGTCCCCTCAGGAACAAACTCTCAGACCTATGTCACCCAGCTCACAATTGGGCACACAGCCTGAGTACCACCTTTCCCACACGCACGCAGACTTCCTGGCTGGGCTCGGGGCTGAGAAACAGCATTGCTGCAGACAAGCCTGCAGTTTTGTTCCACTGAAGACAAAAAGGTTACCATTCTTTTCTATCCTTTTAATGGTATTATATGACCTTTTTGATTTACTTTCAGAGAGAAGCCTTCCTTAAAGTATATGGCATCACCTGCATTATGCAAAATAGAACTTCTCTGTCACATCTTATGAGTTGAAGACTGGGAGAGTAAAGTATACTACATATCTAATGTTTTGAGGAATTATAAAATGTCTCCAAGGGCCCAGAAGGGCTCTGTGCTATAGTGGGCCTGCAGTGGGCAACTGCAAGGCCTGTAGTTTTAAGCAGGCAGGCCTGCCAAAGAACTCAGTATAGCAAATGTTAACGTTTTCAGAGACCAATAAAGAAAAAACAAATTAATAATGGTAAAAACAGCTATCTTTTCTTGCCTACTATTTCTAATCCATACCAACTCTGCAAGGAAAATACTGTTAGAAAATACTGCAGATGAGAAAACCAAGATTCTAAGTTCAATGACTTGCCTGACAAAGACACATACATGGTGAGGTGGCAGCAGGGGATCTGATTCTAGGATGGGCATAACAGGGGGGCACATACCCCTGGAATATAGGCTTTCCAAAGAGTACACAGCAGAGTTTGTTTTTAGGGAATACTGAGACACTTGGCTTCCCCAAGTCCTTTTTTCATAAAATGGATCTACCGGAGATTCCTTCGACACCACAAAGAAAGCCTACTTCTCATCACCCAAGGCTTCCACGTGTCTAGGAAGGGCCCCTTCATCGAGGCACCACAGAGTCACCCACAATTCCTCTCAGAGGGAGATGCACTGCTCATACAATATCGCCTTTTATGTTTAACAATTACCCATCACCATTTGTAATACTCGTTCTTTTGATCAATTGTTGCAGAGAAGTCTGACGGTGTGACCAATAAAATATTTGAACAATATACTCTGTTAGGACGATATTCTGTGGGGAAGGAGAAATGGATTCCAAGGAGTTAAAAAGGAACAATGTAAGCTTTCTGACAGTTGAAGATAAGCCTGTTCATATATTTTGAAAACTTATGATAGTGGCTATCAAATAGCTGTTATCTGCATTCTACTGGATAGATTTAAAAGCAATTTAATTCACAAAGAACAAATATCAATATTTACAGTTATGTGGAAAATATGTAATTATCTGAACTTTGAAGAAAAAAATTAGAGGCCAACTTAAAAATGTCTAAGAGGTAAAGAGACTTCAGAAATTCTTCTAAGGAAGAATGCAAGCAAAACAGCAATATATACACCACAGCTTCAGAGACACAGAATGTGTCAATGGGATCAAACACAGGAGGAGATCATAAGAGCACAGATGATGCTAGAAGTGGTCAATGCTTCCAGTCAGCTGGAAGACTCAAGCTCACCTCCATTAACCAATCCAGAAGAATTGCTCGCATCTTAGGCTGCAGGAGAGGGTGCCGCTGCATAAAGTGCTTATCCCTTAAGTATGTCTTTTCCTTGTTTAGCATGATTTTCCAGACCTCGTCTCTATTTGCCCAGCTACAAAAAACAACGCCAAGTGAAAGACAAAAGGTAGGTGTCAGTATGAGTCCACACTAACTTGGTGAGATTGTGCACAAGGAGTAAAAGATCTGGAAGGCACATGGCAGGCAACTTACTTCAGTATAGGCAGTGGCGAGGCTCTGGAGGGCATGAAACTCTGCGGTCCACACGCGGAACTTGGGTATGCCGGCTCATCCTCTTCTTTGTCCGGTGTGGGAATCAAGGAGCAGGGGTTTTCACACACAGAATTACCGTCCCAAGGCTGTAAAAGAAAAAACACATTTTTAAATGTTTGATATGAACCAGCTATTTTTACATTCATTGATTTATAGAACAGCCAGTAAAACAGAAAAGGTCTTCACACTAGGCAGTAATCTCTAGGCCCAAATACATATTCTGGACTAAATTCAGATGAAGATGGAACGTGTAAGTAAAAGCCACAGTAATGACTCCAAGTTTTCATTTCACATGTCACTGGTTTAGGAGCCTATGCAGTAAATATCTAAGACAACTACAGAGTCAGTAGCATTTTGTCCTCCACGTTGTCACCCTCAAACACGTACCTGAGCAGTAAGATGGACCCAGGAGGGGTTAAGACAAAAGGCAAACAGCTCTTATATTACAAAAAACGACAACAGCACCAACAATACAAATCCATTTGCAGCTCAGTAAGAAACTGGGCATAACTTAGTCTAAGGTATGCTGTGGGATTACTTGGTCACAACTGAAAGATTTGTTTTTTTTTAACAAGTACAACTAATCTAAAATTTCTTAAAAGTGAAAGGATTTCCAATAAAAGTATTTACATGCTCACTCCACATTCACAAGTGTAAAAGATCAAAATGTAAATTGATTACCATCTATATTTAAAGTTTCCCCATCTTAAAACAAAAAACCATCAAATGTGACATCTTTTGGTTGCAAGACTAGCCTAATACATTACATAATTCCTTAACTCAAAACAAAACAAAAAGAATATCTGCCTAGTTAAAACCAAATCCAGGAATGGTCACAGGATATACTAAGAAGTCTGTGGAGATAGAAGCCAGATACCCCTGAAGATCTTTGAATCCTGTCCCCAAAGTCTTGCACAGAATGACTCAAATAACTGATAAGTGAATAAACCATCATTAAAAATCCAAACCCAAATATGCTTTTCTTTTTTTTTTTGTATATCTATCTATCCATATACATTTTTATTTATTTATTTTTTTATTCTTATGTTAATCCCCATACATTACATCATTAGTTTTAGATGAAGTGTTCCATGATTCATTGTTTGTGCATAATACCCAGTGCTCCATGCAGAATGTGCCCTCCTCAATACCCACCACCAGGCTAACCCATCCTCCCACCCCAAATATGCTTTTCTTTTAAAGATTCCAGACACTCAATTTTATTCAATTTTCAATATTTGGAAAATACTAAGGTCGTTTTGCCATTTAGAAAATTTTCTTTTTCAAGCTGCTCTGTTCATCGTCCTACTCTGAAAAGAAGCCTATGATGGATTTTTTTGAATTATAAGAGTGATTTTGTTGACAATGTGGCAGGTAATAATCCCACCAGCATGGAAACCCTGTGAAGTCTGAGATTCTAGGCACTTTTTTTTTAAGGCAGACAGCTCATTAAGGTTGACTAGAGAAGAAAAGGGACAAGGGGACAACTAGAAATGAGCGTGGGGACTTGGGCTCCAGGTGCTGCCTGGAGAATGGCTCTCAGGGCACACCGGCCACTTTCAGAGGCAGCCAGAGCACTTTCAGTGTGCTGAGAAGAGCAAAGCAGGATAAAGCTCTTCTCCACCCAGGGTGCGAAAAATTGGGCATGCAAATTAACCATGACAACTCCTGCCAACAGCTGTTCCAGAAGGGCAACCTCCCCTTCCAGCTCTAGTATCATGTGCTGGTAGCATTTCCTTGACGCAAAAAGGGTCACATAACTGCTTCAAGTAGTTTCTTCATTCAGGAATGAATTCTAGCTGTGAAGGCAGAAGCTGGGTGCCACCCTCTGCAGCCAGATGGCTGAAAGAGCTGAGAGCAGCCCTTGGGGAGAAAATGGCAGCAGTTTCCAACCCGCAGTTCACAGACAAACCAGACGACCCACAAACAGACATGTGGTTTGGAAAGTTTTAGGACCCAGTGGGTGAAGCACAATATGAAGTCTATGCCCTTTCTCTTAAGCAGATACTGGGTTTTAAAGGAAGCCAGATCCATCTGACTTTAGGAAGGAAAGGGATAAGAGCAAGAGACCAATTTTGACTATTTCTAACCACCCCTGCCTCCTTATGAATTAACAATAGAACTACCTATGCAAAATCAGGTGCTGAGAAGTAACTAATGAAAGCCCAGGATTCACTTCAATAAAAAAGGTGGGTCTCATGCAAAAAGTTAAACAACAAGGGGTGCCTGGGTGGCTCAGATGGTTAAGCATCTGCCTTCGGCTTAGGTCATGATCCCAGGGTCCTGGGATTGAGTCCCGCATCGGGCTCCCTGCTCAGCTGGGAGCCTGTTTCTCCCTCTCCTTCTCCTGCTGTCCCTGCTTGTGCTCTCTCACTCACTCTGTCAAATAAATAAATAAAATCTTAAAAAAAAAAAAAAAAGTTAAACAACAAAACAGATTATGTTGAATGGATTTTAGATAAAAGTGCAGTCTTCTTGTCCTTAAGAAAGGCCTAAGGTAAGAATCAAAGGTTCTCTGTGGTCCTGATGAAGCAGTTATAAGGAGTTAGGATAATGCCCACAAGTAGCTCAAGGCTACTGTACTGGGCTGAACTGTAACTCCTGAGAAAAATTCTGTGTAATTAATAGGCAAAAAGGTTGTGTTACCCCAAAATTCTAGCTTCAGGAATCTACACAGAGAAATAAGACAACGAATCCTCCATAAATAGATGGACAATTTTCAAGCTATCTGCTCTACAAAATGTGCAGAAATTTGTTGTCATTAATCTGTGAACCACTATGAAAATTCCTTCTAGTTGGAAATTATATGCTTATTCATATACCAGAGTGATCAACTGTCCACAGTTTAGGGATAGGACCACAGCCCCATTTTAGTCACCCTAGCACCGCTCTAATCATCCTGGAGAACAGAAACTACTCTAAAACTCTAAGAAGTCAATATGGATGCCTTTCTTTCTCACTCGGAAATTTCAATTCAAAAACAGTTGGCAAAATAAACAATCTTGAGTTTCACAAAGTAGAGATCCATTTTATCATGCCCCTACTTAAAGTTCGTTTGTTTCTTATATTTTAAAGAAGAGAAAAGGAAAGAAAGAATTCTTATTTCCTTCCCTAAAATCTAACGAGAAGGAAATTATCAACCCCCTTGTTCAATATTCAATGGACCTCCCCAGAAATGCTAATTACTAGGGTCTTATGTACAGTGACAACTATTACTACAAATCTACTGCTTTAAAGCCCTTCACTCTTCCAGAACCAACTGCTATGGCTGTTGCTCACTGCCCAACAAAGTGATGTGCTGCCCATTGCTAACCTAGTTGGGACCACTGCCCTCAGCTCAAATACTATTCCCACTCAGCTTTTCTCTGTGATAGGGTCAGAAGGCCTGACACGCTAGTTTGGAGATCGGCTGCTTCCCCTACTGGAGCCATAACTACAGTCTCCAGTCATTTCTGGAGGTAGAGAGATAACACAAGCTTTTTCTGCTGGGAACTTCTGATGTTGTAATGATATCACGAGCATGCAGGAAATTTGGTGGTAACTCTATTCCAAAGAGACCAGAGAAATGGACTCGTCAATTTAAAAAAAACTGTGCTGAGACACATATATCATCACACAGAATATTCCACAAATACTCTGGCTGAGGGCAGGTCAAGCCCCAGACAGCAGTAGTCACTGTAGGTAATTGCTGGATGGGCTGAGAACCCCCAGAGGGGGAAAAAGTTAGAAACCTGACCTAAAGGGGGTGGGAGGTCCTTAAGCACCATGACATGATGGAAAAATAGAAGTGTGAATGGGGAGAATTCATGGTTGCTTATGAACACACACAAACCCCCATCATCACAGCTACCCAGAGTGTCAGGAGCCCTCCCCCTGGTTCGCCAGCCTAGAGACAGGGCTCTAGGATGGACTCCACCCCTGGCTTGCACAGGACTCTGGGTTACTTTCTTCCTCTGAGTCTGGGTTTCCTCAAGGGCAAAAGGAGAGGACCGAGTTATTTGATGTCCATTCTGGTTCTTCCAGACATCAGCGCATATTTGTAATCTCAAAGGTGCTGGCAAGGAACCCAAGACCTTCCTGGAGTCCCAAGGCTGGCAGAGGTCAGTGCCACTGCTGGGCACAGAGCTCAGCCATATGTACTGTGGCCATAGGTAGAGAAAAAGCCTTCAGCAGGAGGCAAGGGGGATAGAGACTCAATCTAAACCACAAAGAGCAGGAGGCCCTCCACCTAGGCCCAATCAGCAAGTGTACCCACCTGACTGCTGCACTGGCTTCTCACAGTCCTGTCAAGTTTTGCAATTTCTTCATCTGGATCCTGCAAAAACTAATATAAAGCAGCCCCCACCCCCCAAGGAAACACACCAAAGAGTCCAAAGACAAAAACAGAGAGAGAGAAAGAAAAAGTTGGTTAGGTTGTGGGCACCATTTCTGCCAAATGCACTCCCATTAACCCCCTATCAATAAACATGTGGCAGAGCCCAGTCTGGTTCCCAGGTAAGATTTGGGGGGGTCTCCTCCCCAACCCGTCTCCTTTGTACTCACAACAGCCACATTTGCCTTCCTTTTCCTGGAGCGAACAGAGACATCTGTGCCACTTTCCTCCTTCATGGTGTCCCGTTCCTTTGCATCCCTGCAAAGCCAGGGTGGCACAGAGGTCAGGGTGAGTTCTCCCCAAATCTGGGTTCACCCCTCCCCCACCACTGAATACCCTTCCCGTCCCCACAGCGACAGGGCCACTCACCTCTCCCTCCTCTCCCTCGGCATGGCTTAGGGCGTGAGATCAAGTTTCAGGCCTTAGGGACACAAACCGGGCAGTGGGGTGAAGACGACCGGCGGCGGGGGGGGGCGGTATGGGCGGCCAGCCTGCCCCGGACACCCCTCCCCCTCCCGCGCGGGCGGCGGCGGCGGCGGCGGCGGGAGCCTCCCGGGCCGGTCAGGAAAATGGCCGATGGGCCCGGGTGGCCTGTCACCCGCGGCGCCGCCAACAGTCTGCGATGCCGGGTCCGAACCCGGGGTTGGGGGGGCCCGCACGGCCCCCGAAATCCCCGCCGGCCATCTCCTCCCTTGTGGCCCGGGCTGCCTCAGTCTCCCCCTCAACACTTCCCTCCCCCCACCCCGTCCGTCTCTGAGCCACCCTACCGGGGCACCCCGCGCTAACGCCTCAGGGACCCGGCAACCCGGCCTCGCCCCACCCCCACCCCGGCCCGGCCCGACCCGGGCGCTGTGGGAGTCCTCGCCGCCGCGCCGTCCCGCAGCTCGCGACAGGGCCCTTACCCGAAGCCGTCTCTCCGCGGCAGGCAGGCGGCACGAGCCGAGGCCGGGGGCAGGAGGCAGGAGGCAGGAGGCAGAGGCGAGCGGGAAGCCGGGAGGCGGGAGGCGGGAGGCAGCGGCGGGCCGAGCGCGCGGCGGTGGCGGGATCCGCGCCTGCCCCCTACACCGCGCTGGCGGCCGAGCCGGCTGCTCCTGCGCCCGGCTAAGAGCGGGACATTTAAAAATCCCTGCGCGCGGAACCGGCCCCCGGCCC